TCAGTAATTCCCCGGGTCATCCATTTTCCCCTTCTTGAAAATGGGGGTTATATTTTCCTTTATCCAGTTGTTGGGAACTTCACCTGACCGACATGATTTTTCATATATGTTGGAGAGTTGCTTAGCAACTTCATTCGCCATCTCCCTCAGCAACCGCGGATGGATTTCATCAGGTCCCATTGACCTGTGCATGTTCAGGTTTTTAAGATGGTCTCGAACCAGATCCTCAGCTACAGTGGGCCTAGGGTCATCATTCTCACAGTCCCTGCGTCTGCCTGATAAGACTTGGGTGGTGTGGTGTCGTGGTTTAACCAATGCCAGACAGCTTGTTACCCACTCCCCCCCTTTCTTGCCCTCCCCTTACTCCTGGAGAGCCGGAGAGGAGAATCAGAAAGAATGCAACTCCCACGGGTTGAGATAAGAACAGTTTTAGTAACTAAGGTATAACACAAATCACTAATGCTAACACCAATAATCGTAATGATAAATGAAATAACAAGGGAAGAGAATACAACACCCCATCACCAGCCGACCGATAACTTGCCCCCCCAGTCCGATCAAGCACCGACCAATACCTCCTCCAAACCCTGCAGTCCACCTCGCCCTACCGGCTAACTCCCAGTTCCCTCCTGGGCATGACGTGCTGTGGTATGGAATACCTCTTTGGTCAGTTTGGGTCAGGTGTCCTGTCTCTGCTTCCTCCTGGCTCCCCTCCTCCCTGGCAGAGCATGAGGCCCACAAAGTCCTTGGCCAAACCAAAACATCATTGTTTTTCAGCTCTGTTCCCAGCTGAAAGTCAAAACACAGCCCTGCACCAGCTACCAAGAAAGAGAAAAATGACTGCCACTGCTAAACCCAGGACATGTGGTCAGAGCCTTTGCCAGTGAAGACTGAGGCAAAGAAGTCATTAAGAACCTCAGGCTTCTCCAAATCCAGGTTAGCCAGTTCTCCCAATAGCTTCCAGAGGGGGTCTACGTTGTCCCTAGTCTGTCTTTTATTTGCTACGTACCTACAGAATCCCTTCCTGTTATCCTTAATATCCCTAGCCAAGTTTAATTCTAACTGGGCCTTAGACTTCTGGTAAAGAAGTCCCTTGGACTTCTTGTGACTATGTACCACTGGAAATACTCTTAGTTATTAGCATTCGGCTCGAGCCCTGAAACACATTTTGTGACTGTATCTCCTCAAAAGTTCTTGCTTTTTTTTGTTACCATACACATGATCATGGCATTGATTCAGAAGCTCATTTGCTGCAGGGCTGCTGGTCTCTCTCATATCCTCATGTGCAGCACTGCTTAAGAAGCTTCTCAGTGCCTTATGACACAGGGATGGAGGAGAAGGGGACAAGCATACAGTTCAGCTGTTTAAACCTGATGCCAGGGGACTAACTTTGGAGCAACGGGAGTTGCTGATGTATGGCGTACTTCAAGTTGAATCTGCATGACTTCAGTGCATGTCTAAGCCAAACAATCCCCGGAGCTTCTCCTGTATTTCCTTCTGCGGAGAAGATGGCAGTGAGCTTAAACATCTCTCCTCATGCATTACAATGGACCATGCAAAGTGCACATGCCAAGGAATCGGTTGTCCGTTTTTATTTCTGGAAGACCAAGTGTAGAAATATTCTCCTGAAGGACCCTGCTGTAGTCTTAGTTCTCACACACATCTTTTATGATTAAGTTTTGAGACTTGCATGGTATCTATCTTTCTTCTGAAAGATGTCATACCGACTTTTTTGTCTAGGCTAGGGCTGGTACACCTTCAGAACACCCTAGGATGTTCAGGTTCCTTCTCCTGGGAGGGAGCCTACAAGAGCATATCCTTGCTCAGCCTTTACTTCCTACTTGCTCAATACAACGACAGTTCTGAAACAGAACACACCAAGACTTCAGCCTCCACAGGGGCCCTACAGTCAGGCTGAGTTTCCTCACAGGCCTCTCTAGCGGGTCCTGTCCTCCGTCTAGCACCCCTAGGACTAAATGGCCTAAGAAGAGACGCTGATAACCAGCTGCATATCTCCTGCTTTCTCCCCTAGGGACATATGAGTCACAGCTGCTTTAATAAGACAGAATAAGAAGAGGGATACTGGTAGCATGTAAATCTTATGTCTCTTAAGATGCTGGGCATCCTGGCTTCAGGCAGAGTTAGAGCTCTTCCTTTTTGGTCCTATGAACAAATACATTAAGCATCACAAGAAAACAGCATTAGTCATAAAGGAAGTTCACATAAGAACTTGCTGCATCTCCAGACACAGGCAGGGCCAGGCAGCTGGTGTGTCAGAATCAGGCAGGAGCTGCCCATGAACCCCGTTACCATGAGATGGCCAGGCTCATCCTGCAGCAACAGGGCTTGGGCAGTGCAGACCCGCCCTGTGCCTGCTCAGGGTACCACCAACTCCATAATGTGCAATGAGTTTCTGGTCAGGATCACCTCTACATTTACCCACGCACAATTTACCTTTCCCACAGGTATAATAAATTACAAATAATGTTGAATAACAAAAAGTCTTCTCAATCTGAAAGTACAAAGCCTAATTGGGTGGACATCACCTGTTCAATATCATTAGGTCCTTGACTACAGTGTCTTCTGCAAGGAGGGACTCAGCTCTGCAGGGACTCATCCATGTGGGGCTGGTTAAAATCACTTCTGCTCCAGTGGGGCATGGCCTTGGCTCCAGCGATGGCTCCCTAGGGCAGCTAAGCACCTGAGTAGGGATCAAAAGGGTCAGTGATGCCTGGTCCCCCTGGCTGAGCCTGGAGTTCTGCTGTGACTGGAGATGCCTCAGGCATGGCAGGACAGGCTGCCCTGCTCCAGTGGCACTTCCAGCTCCTTCTATGGCACAAATAGAAAGAAGAGATCTCACACTCCCCAGCCTCATTAGTAGGGGCTTGGTTTCTTACCTGATATTCCCTCTAGCAGCAGCTGACTGAACTCCCCAGAGAACCTTATAGAGATATCTGGCCTCCACCCAGGATCTTATGGATGAATCTCCCACATCCGCCTGGGGTCTTGTAAGAGAGCCTGGCCCCTCCACAGGTCTGTGTAGGGGAACCAGGCCTTTTCATACAGACCTATACATAAGCCTTGCCTCCCTGCCAGTCCTTATAGGGGGAGCCTGGCCACTCCCGTATAGAGGATCTTTGATTCTTCCCTGGTTCCTAGAGGTGATCCTAGCCTCCCATCGGGTCCTCAGTAGGGGAACTTATCTCCCTCCCAGGCTCCTATAGAGGAGCCTGGCCTCCACACAGCACTTTATAAAGGTTTCTGCTCCCCCACAGGCCCTTGTAGGAGGGCCAATCCTCAACCCAAACTCCTATAGAGAGGCCTGGCCTCCCCACAGGATACTATGGAGCAGTCCGACTCCACCGCTGCACTTACTGAGGAGGCTGGCCTTCCCACAGGAGCCTATATATGAGCCTACCGTAATGCCCTATGCTCCTGGGAGGTGAACTGCCTCACCCACAGCTGCTTTTCCGCATTGCTTCTTTCTGTGTTTCACGTAACCTCCACGCTGCTGACTGAAAGGGAGCTGAAGGGGGCGGTGTCAGTCTACTCCATCTTCCGACCGCAGCCTCTGTTGCTGCGGCTTGGTGGTGTGGGTACGGTGGAGACTGAGAGTGGCCTGCGAGGCCCTCGCCAAGAGGAGGCCCAAGGTCCAGAGGGAAGGCAGGAATCGGTTCCAGGTGAGGTACCTCCTGTCTTCGTCCAGGCTGGTTGCACCACCTCCCCGTTGTGGTGCGTCCGGCGAGCTTAGAGTGGGAGGGAGGGGATCGGTGGGGTTGTTACACAGCATGAGGCGTTAGTCAGGACTTTGTCTCGCGTTTGGGCCTATTCATTCCTGAGCGGGTTTAAAGTGGCGGACAGAGTGTCAGCTCCAGGCTCTGTTTGTGTTTGTCTGCTGCTGGAAGCAGTTAGATCGGGGACAGGGTGTGCCTGTCTGAAAAGAGATGTCCCATCACTGGCAGTGTGAAGGCCAGGCTAGACATGCCTTAGAGCACCCTGGTCTAGTGGAAGGTGTCCCTGCATGGGTTTCAGTGGATTCTGGAATGATCTCAACTATAATACCTTGCCTCAGAGCTGGGTCAAATTGGAAATGTTTCTCTTAATTGCCTAACCTCTTACATGTTGTACACTCCACCTCGGAGAGCAATGGAAATGAAGTCCTGGCTGTCCAGGCTAAATGATTGGACCCGATGATCTTAAAGGTCTTTTCCAGCCTAAACGATTCAACAATTCTAACCAGAGCATCTACAAGATGATGCTTTGGCCACCTCATTTCCATGTACACATGGCAGGCAGCATCCCTTCCCTGAGGGCTGGCACTCTGCTCTCCTGTGCTGAGTCCACTCTCAGCCACAGCCACATATGTCTGCTGCCCTGACCCTTCAGGAACCTCCCCAGCATGGCTCTGCTGTTGAAGCAGCTGGCTATTCATAGCTGTGAGTTTGAAACAGCTCTGGGTCTTGAAGTGTGAACTACACTTTGCATATGGCACTCGATGAACTTGCTGGGGTGCTGTTCTGTGGTATGGCCACTCACTTTCAGCAGGATGAGCCTGAGGGGTTTTTAGCATCAGTTTTTCTGTGGCCCAGCTTGACTGTGTTCTAAGCTGGGGCAGCTCTTTGCTTCAGGTTGCTGTGTATAGAAACCTGGCTGAATTCATTGGGGTGAGGGGCAGATGTGACTGTGCTTGCTTGACTAACTTCTTGATACCAGTTATCCTACATTGAAAGGCGGGCCCCAGGAGGACTGACCCTCACATAGCTAATGCTGCTTGGATGCCGCTTCAGAAGTTCTGCTGCTTTTATACGTTTCTGCAAAGGAACGTGTGCTATGGGGTCACTTTGATGTCAGCTACAATGGTTGATTTCAGCAACAGAGTCTTTTCATATATGTGTATATATGTAAGTATATATATTTATATATAAGTATATAAAAATTTCTTTGCTTTGCTTTGCTTTGATAGACAATGTGGGACAAAGTCACATCCATCTGATGCAAACACTTTGGGAAGAAGCAAAGAAAATGGAGGAATTCAGGGAAAAGCAAAAACTACACCGGAAGAAGGTCAGGGTGTTGATCCATCACCATCCTTGCGGATGGATCCTGGCTTCTGGCTCGTTTCTCCCACCATGCCCCAGCACCCTGCATGCTCTGAATGCCTGCTGCTGCTGGGAAGTCCTGAGCTCCTTCCTATATGTTGAAAGTCTGCTGCTGAACCTCTGACTTCCTTCTTCTCACTGCCACATCTTCTCCTTTGGATGCCTTTTGGGGCCATCTGTTGCAGGGGCTCAGCACCAGAGACACCAGCCTCAACCAGGAATGTTCTTAAAGCAGATATACATATATCTCATATATATAGCCTTGCTTGATGTTCATAGGGTTTGCTAAAATTGACAAGCCTTTTAACCTCTTCTGGCTTGAGATTCCTCTTTCTGGAAAATGAGGGAAAACTGCTGGATGTTTGGACGTAGCAGAATGAGTGGGGTTCCCAATTTTCTTAGATTCTATGGAGATGATACAGTACTATATATTGCTGGGATTGTAGAGTTCCTTTGCATACAGGAGTGGAGCCTTAGCTAGAAGTATAAAAGGTGGGTTTTGTTTAGATGCTTTAGGTGGACATAAGTCCTTAAGGCCATCTGAATTTGGCCTGTGCCTCTTCCTTTCCTAAGCCGTATAGTCCATCATGGAGTTTCAGTGGTCAGTGATGTGTTGACTCTGGCTCTGTTATCTTCACAGATAGAGCTGATAATGGAGGCAATTCACAAAACCAGGAATCTGCACTACGAGAAGACCATGGTTGTAAAGCAAACATGCTTCTCCTTCTTGACACATGGTTTAACACTGCTAACACATACGCAGTGCTGGTGCAGTCTTAAATATGAGGGTCTTCCTCTGCTGCAACTCATGTAGCCATTACACAAAGAGCAGCAGCACGGGAAGACCATCACATTTAAGTCTGCATACTGTGTGCTGGAAAAGTGAAGAGTACACCAGGGACATGGCTAGTAGCAGCCTTGCATGGTAGGGTAAGAGTGATTTAGGTGTCAAGGACTCAACTGCTATGAGCTTTTCATGCCAAATGAAGAGCGGTTTGTGTTGTGAGGTCAATTTTGCTCAAACAGTAGGGCACTGGGGGCTTTGTGTGCTGTCCCCTGCTCTGCTGGCAGCCTGTGTCCACCTCTTCACTTGGAGGCAGTGTTTTCCTCCAGAGCTACCTGCATGAGCTGTAATAGCAACTCACTGCTCGCTAACACTCTCCTGCCCTGTTTGTTGGCTCTCCTAGGCCAAGCGCCTTTATGAATGGTGCTGTACCTATAAGGATGAGGCGGAATAAGCTGTGCCCAACAACACAAACGTGGTTACACAGAAGCAGCAGGAGAGGTTATAGAATCACAGAATCACAGAATCCCAAGGGTTGGAAGGGACCTCAAGAGATCATCTGGTCCAACCCCTCTGCAAGAGCAGGGTAACCTAGAGTACATCACGCAGGAGCTTGTCCAGGTGGGCCTTGAATATCTCCAGTGTGGGAGACTTCACAACGCCCCTGGGCAACCTGTTCCAGTGCTCTGTCACTCTCACAGTAAAGAAGTTCTTCCTGATGTTAACGTGGAACCTTCTATGCTCCAGTTTACACCCATTGCCCCTTGTCCTATCACTGGATATCACTGAAAAAAGCCTAGCTCCATCATCCTGACACCCACCCGTTACATATTTGTAAACACTGATGAGGTCACCCCTCAGTCTCCTCCAAGCTGAAGAGACCCAGCTCCTTCAGCCTCTCCTCATAAGGGAGGTGTTCCACTCCCTTAATCATCTTTGTGGCTCTGCGCTGGACTCTTTCAAGCAGTTCCCTGTCCTTCTTGAACTGAGGGGCCCAGAACTGGATGCAATATTCCAGATGTGGCCTAACCAAGGCAGAATAGAGGGGGAGGAGAACCTCTCTTGACCTACTAACCACACCCTTTCTAATGCACCCCAGGATGCCATTTGCCTTCTTGGCCACAAGGGCACATTGCTGGCTCATGTTCATCCTCCTATCCACCAGGACCCCCAGGTCCCTTTCCCCTTCACTACTTTCCAGCAGGTCAGTCCCCAGCCTGTACTGGTACATGGGGTTGTTCTTCCCCAGATGCAAGACTCTACACTTGCCCTTGTTGAATTTCATCAAATTTCTCCCCGCCCAACTCTCCAGCCTGTCCAGGTCTCGCTGAATGGCAACACAGCCTTCTGGTGTGTCAGCCATTCCTCCCAGTTTAGTGTCATCAGCAAACTTGCTGAGAGTACACTCGGTTCCCTCATCCAGGTCGTTGATGAAAATATTAAACAGCAGTGGTCCCAGCACCAACCCCTGAGGGACTCCACTAGTCACAGACCTCCAGCTAGATTCTGCACCATTGACCACAACTCTCTGCCTTCTTCCTTCCAACCAGTTCTTGATCCACCTCACTACCTGATTGTCAAGCCCACACTTCCTTAGCTTATCTATGAGAATGCTGTGGGAGACAGTATCAAATGCCTTACGGAAATCAAGAAAATCCACATCTACTGCTCTAACATCATCCCTCCACCTAGTCACTTCCTCATAGAAGGCAATAAGGTTGGTCAAACATGACTTCCCCCTCATAAAACTATGTTGGCTGTTCTTAATAACCCCCTCATCCTTGATATGCCTAGAAATGGAGTCAAGAATAAGTTGTTCCATCACCTTTCCAGGGACGGAGGTAAGGCTGACCGGTCTGTAATTACCCGGGTCCTCCTTCTTGCCCTTCTTATAGACTAGTGTGACATTAGCCATCCTCCAATCCTCAGGCACCTCTCCTGTTTCCCACAACTTACCAAAGATGATGGAGAGTGGCCTAGCAATGACCTCCGCCAGCTCCCTCAGCACCCGTGGGTGCATTCCATCCGGACCCATCGATTTATAGATGTCCAGATTACATAGCTGATCCCTAACCCAATCCCCATCTACCAAAGCAAACTCCTCCTTTGTCCTGACTCCTTCTGGGGCAATAGGAATCTGGGGGCCATGGGACAGGAGGAGGAAGGGTGTATGTTCTTGGAGCTCTCCTGCCCCATAACTCTTCTCCCAGCTCTGGGTTTGGGGATGAGATGGAAAGGCCAGCATCGTTCTCTAGTTGGGCTTCAGTTCCATTGGTGGTGCATATCGACTCTCCTGTAGCTTTCTTCTCACTCCCATTTTTGGCAGCTGTTCCTCAAGCTGGCTCAGACGAAATCATCTCCGGAGGAGTCTTGTGAGTGTGGAAATGCAGGCTTTGGAGGGTGAGGGGAGTTTCCTGGGGCAGGGGCTGTGAAGCCATGGCATGGCTCTTGAGTGAGCTCCAGCTCTTGTGTCAGGGCTGGCTCCTCAGAAACTCATGCCCAACATACCAGAGGTGGAGAAGCCTGCGTAGCCCTACCAATGCTGTTCCCACCATTTCTCTGTGGCATGACCCTCCACCATTCTGCACAGCTCTGTATTTCCTTGCAGTGCACATCCATAGCTGAGCTCACACTTTCCTGCTGCTTTCACCCTGACATCCCTGCCAATTCAGGTTTTGTGTAGTGCCTTCTAGCAAATGGTCTTTTTAATCAGTTTTAATCAGATAAGAGTGTGATTTCTCTCACAGGCAGGAGTTACCAGCAGAGAGTTACCACAGTGGAGAAGATCCGGGAAGAATGGCAGAAGAGCAAGTCAAAGCTTATAATGCAAAAATCCCCAAATGCCTTTATGTGGCATTGTGGTCCTCTGGATGTCCACTGCTCACTGCAGGGGTCCAGGATGGCACAGATCTGCTTTCTCTTTGTTGCCCTGGCAGTGAAGCAGCAGAACATGTTGCAGCTATCCCTGTGTGTGTGTTTGGCTTGCCTTCTGAATTTAAGGTCTCACCACTTTAAGGTTTCCACTATTTTTTTTGCTTTTATTTTTCCTTCCACTACCTTTTCAAAGTAACAGAATCAAAGTAGTGACCTTATTACCCATTAACCTGCTTGCTCCTCTACTCTGATCTTGTGAGACCTCACTTGGAGTATTGCGTACAGTTCTTTTGTCCTCAACATAAAAAGGACATGGAGCTGTTTGAGCAACTCTACAGGAGGACAGGCAGAGAAAGCTGTGGCTGGTCATCCTGGAGAAGAGGAGGCTGTGTGGAGACCTCCTAGCAGCTTCCAGTACCTGAAAGGGGCCTACAAAGATGTTGGGGAGGCACTCTTCACTGAAGAGTGTAGTGTTAGGATTAGTTGCTTTAAAATTAAAACGGGGATTTTAATTTAGATATAAGGAAGAAGTTCTTTACTGTGAAGGTGGTGAGGCCCTGGAATGGGTTGCCCAAGGAAGCAGAGAATGCTCCATCCCTGGCATTGTTAAAAGCCAGGTTCGATGCAGTCTTGGGTGGCATGGTTTAGTGCGAGGTGTCCCTGCCCATGACAGGGGTGTTGGAACTAGATGATTTTAAGGTCCTTTCCAACCCTAACTATTCTATGATTCTGTGATTTATGGACAGGAAGTGCAGAGGTTGCAGTCTTATCCCATGTCTGCTGCAATCTTGCAAACAGCAAGTCAGAACAAGTGCATATGTACACATGGGATGAAAGGCTGTCTTTCAGGGAAAATTTGTAAAGTCTCACAAAATTCAGCTATATCAGACTCAAAATAACAACCAGATTTAGAGGGCCCATTTCAAGTACTGTTGACCACTAAAACTGCTGTGAGGACTCCTGAAAAAATGTTGGACACTCTAAACTAAGATCAAAAGACCAGTGGAACTCCCATCTGAAGACAGACACTGGTGTATGGAAATCACCTAAGAACTCTGTATGTATTAAGATGAAGAGATAATAAGCATACATTCCTATTTCTGAAACTTTGTGAGAAGGCTGGGACTAAGTTACTAAGGGAACAAAGCAAAGGGTTTGAGATAACATAACTTAGAAAGACACACACTGTTGTTAAAGACCATGTCATCTCTGGACAAAAGATGCACTCTGTGGTTAAAAAGAATACTATCCTTGCACAATCACTAAGGCTAAGCAGGTGTAAGCTGGTTAAAGTCTAAGTTGGGGTACCACATATCTGCAAGAGAGTTATGAAATCAAAACATAAAAGGAGATAAGCAAGTAAGAGGAAGCGGCTTATAAAATTGAGTAAGGGGAGATGTAAACGGTGGTAGCAAGTAGATTATACACACTGGATAGTCTGTAAATTTCAGAGAACCCAACAAACAGTGACACACAAAAGGGTACTTGTGGCCAGGATAGAAAAGATAAATCATAGTTCTAATTTTGCTCTTTGTGACTAATCATTTGTACACCTGTTTTTGCAAAAATGTGAATACATAGCTGCTTCACTGCTGTGTCTAGCCTGAGCTTAAGTTTTTATCTAGACTGTTTCTCACAACAAGTGTGTATGTACTCGTGGGATGAAAGGCTGTCTTTCAGGGAAATGGGTAAAGGCTCATGAAATGGAGCTATACCAGACAGCACATTTCAACAGACTTGGGTTTATAGCTGCTTGGAAAAGAGATGGGCAGGAAAGAGAGAGAAGACAAATGAGTCAAGACATTTTGCTTTCATAGATCCCCAATGCTTTCTTATTACTCCATAGTTGTAGGAGAGAAGTCAGCTGGGACTGCAGGACCATGGGGTACCTAGGGAAGATGCAGTGCCTTTAGGAAGCTGGATTCGTCTCCCCAGGGACAGTGGTGTGCTGAGTGACCTCTTTCACATCGGTCCTGCAGACCTTCCTGGGTTTAACGTTCATCAAAATACCTGGTTGTGTAAAGGGATGAGTTCTTCTCTGGATGAAATCTTTTCCGACCTAGTTGGTTCTATGATTCTATGACTCATGGTTACCGCAGTTCCTGCAGACCAACATCACCTGCTCCTTGCTGTGGGCAGTGAACTTTGTAGTGGGATGAGAAGAGATCAGAAGATATTTGCTCCCTCCTTAAAGATGATAGGGCTGTTTTGTCTGTGTCGTTTCAGTTGCTTGAGACGCAGGAGTGCGAGTGGATCAACTATTTCCACAGTGCGCTCTGGCTGCAACCAGCTCTCCCAGGACTGCGTCCAGAATGTTGAAGTATGTAAAAGGGAAATCTTCATCTTTATGTTGGGAAAAGAAAACCCAGTTTGTGTCCCTGTGCTGTCTGAGCCACCAGACACCAGCATGAGTGTGCGGGCAGGTTTCAGCCAGATCTCTGACACATGAGGTTTCCTCTGGGATTCCCATGTTTTTTGAGGGTAGTGAGGCGCTGGCACAGGTTGATCAGAGAAGCTGTGGCTGCTCCATCACTGACAATGTCCAAAGCCAAGTTGGATGGGGCTTGGAACATCATGCTGTAGTGGAAGGTGTCCTTGCGCATGGCAAGGGGTTGGAACTGGATGAGCTTCAATGCCTCTTTCAACCCAAACCAGACCGATTCTGTGATTCCCCTACCATTGAATCTTGTTTCCTCAGTGAGCACTGGGCTTTCACCTGTGTGTGGTAAACAATTGGAAAAGCTCCTGTTGTTTATGAAAACTACTACAATACACAGAGAAATGGAACTCTTTTAAGAAGTCTGGTTCCTGTGCCTCTATCAAGGTAAGGGATATAACACGGACACTTGCAATTGGGATTGGAAATGATACTCTCCCCCCACACCACAAAAAAAAAAAAAAAAAAAAAAGGAAAAAAGAAAAGCACAGTGTTCTCACAGGAGAATGGATAATTGGTACATAAACTCTGAATAATCCTGATAGATACAGCATGGCCATGAGAGGCCAGAGGAAGCTTAAGCAAGCAAGGTAAGAGCAGCTGGAATTCACTGAGTTATGAGAACTGTGGACTGTTGGCAAGCTTTCGAGGTCAAGTTCTCACACCTGTGCTCAACCAATTATAAGTTAGTCACTAAGGGTCTTCAAGACATGTATCCAATCATCATATGCCAAATCACTGTAAGTGCATGCAAGAAATAGTATAAAAGGATTTAAGGCTTTGTAATAAATAGCTTTTGTCTAATCATATTGATCTCTGACTGGGTCCATGTATTTTCTGCAGCAGCACATTTTGTTGCTTTCAGTCTTTAGAGGCAGTTACTTTCTCTTGCAACTTTGGTTGCAACTATGGCAACTATGCTTTCTGTTGCTTGAAGGCTTGAATTGGGGAGTATTAGAGGAAAATATTTCCCATGCTATCAGTTCACACAGCAGGAGTTACACCGATCTGATGTCTAGTCTAACCTGTTCAAGAATACTCTCACAGTCAAAGGGTTTTGCTCCTCATTTGTGGGTCATTTCTCTCTTCTCATGATAGGAAATCTTATTCTGAAAGGGCTTGTGGTGAGGGTCTGCCCATTTTTTTCTTGTACTCAAGCTGTTCCAGAAGTGCATTATATGGAGGTGAAGGGTGCAGCGTTCAGACAGCTGGAAGGCAAGGCAGCCTGGGGAATACTGAATTTTGTCATGCTGTCTCTCAAAGCTTTCTGAGCTCCCTTGTAGAAGAGTTCAGGTTTTGGTAACAGAATGAAACGTGCTGGGCATCCCTGTATGGTTCTCCATGTGTTCTGTCTATGTGTGGAGACTGGATCAAGTAAAAGCATATGTAAGTAGAGGAAGGACAGGGTGAAGGATGCTTCTACCCAAGGGGACAGTGAGGATTCAGGGCCAAAGAGGCATGCTAAAGATGCTGTCTTCCAAGTACGTTGCTGGTGGTGAGCACACCATGGCATGCCTTGGTATCAGGTCTCCATCAAGCCCAGGCTGGCCAAACCTCTTGCCCTCCCACCAGCTCTGGGAGGGCAGTCGACAGCATCGACCCAGGGGCACACGCCACGAGCCAGGTGCACAGAGCCACGCAGATCCTCAGCATTGTGTTTTCTTCTGTGCAGGAGGGCACCTTTACCCACCCGAACCAATGCATCAAGTGAGTTACCTTATGGGGTTTCTGGCTCCATGGAAGAACTCTGCTTTTGCTCTTCCCCATCAGATTATAAGCTTTAGCTCTCTAAAGGGAATGTTTTAGCTGAGGCTCTTGCTGTAGGCCCAGTCTGCACTGAAAGGTCCAAGGAAGTTGCACTTTGAGTTTCGAGGCAAGGCAAAACTGAGGACAAGTTCTGATCAAAGCACCTGTATGTAGACATTTCTGAAGCTTAAGGATGTCCAAGCTTGGGATCCCACCAGTCTCTGCAGTCTGGGCCTTTTCCTCATTCAACATGATGAGCTATATAATTCCCTTTGGCACTTTAGTGATGGAACTTAGTAAAATGGTTTGGTTTTTCAGCAAAACAAGACAACTTTTTCAGCCTCATACACCATTGCCTCCCATCCCTTTAACACAGGTGGGCAGTATTTCTGTCCTGTTTAGAGTTGTGTAAGGAGCACTTCTCATAAGCAGACCTAATTTCTCTGTGCTCTGTGTTTGAGGTGAGCCTGATTATACCATAGTTGATGGATACAGTTTGATACATCACTAGTAGTCACAGTAAGTACTCATACTTGATGAACAGGATTTAATATGAGAGACAGCTACACATTGACCAGGGTCAATGGAGAAAGAAAGGCCACTGGTTAAGGGATGACAATTTGAGGTGACCAGCTGGGAGTGACGGTCATGTCAGGTCTCTGGTCTCTTGTGTAAAATGAAGCTGTGGTTTAGATGCTGTTGATCCTGTTCTATAGGTTCTCCAGGCAGAAGACATTGTTGTTTTGGC